TCCGAATAAATATACAGTCCCGAATAAAAGAATAGTACAGTCCAAATAAATATTACAGTCCAAATAATGTACAAATTCCTAATTAATTAACAAATTAACTAAGAAAGCTATAAAAAACTGGCATGCAAGCCAGGGACTGCCTTGATTCCGCTCCGGGTGATGAATGAGGCATGTTCGGGTTGCCTTTGTGCGGAAATCCATGATGATGCCCCAATTAGCCTCTGTTTGCACCTATTCTTGAAATGCGTGCCAAGCTCCGAAAAGTTACTGATTCTTCATTTTGCTGCAACAGAGAGCAGGAAAGGGGCATGGCAATGTATTTTCACAAATGTATGCATGTCTCGATCCTCGTGCCACCAATCACGCATATCGATGCATGATGACCGAGGAGTCGAATTGCACAACTCAATATGAAATGAATGCATATGAAAATACAACAAAACCTAACTCCATCATGGATAATCCGGAGTGTCGGTGACTGGGGAATTAGGACACGTTCCGTCACTCGGAGTACGGAACGTACCTCGTTTCCCGTGCCCGGGCTAACTCCTATCCCGAACACGATGCAATATGCATGATATGCATGAAATGTAACTAAGATACAACCTAACATGCGAAAGGCTATGAAATGGCATATACGATGCACGAGGAAACATGGCATACACAATGCGCTAATATACGGCCTAGCAGACGCAATGCTATGGAGTGAAATGGCATACACAATGCAATATGGACTTACACCAACACAAGTGAACCTCAGCCACACTCACATAGGAGGCCATAAGATGAAAATGAGACAACTCGAAGTGCGTGCACGCGTGCACGCAAACCGAGGACCGAACCTACGGCACGGAATGCCACTCTAACAAGACATGGCAAAACATGGAATATGGCATATGATCATGCAATTTTCAGAGGCAAAATGAGATGCAAAACAGCCCCGAATCATGGCAAAATGATACCCGATGTATGGAACGAGTCCCGAAACATGAATTTTGGCGCATGAAATGGCCTATAGCTATGCAATGCATGCATAATTTGAACATGAAATATGAAGACAGAAGCTAGGCAGCCCCAAAACAAGCATGTTTACAGTTTAAAGCATGACCAAAAATGGAACACAAACGAGGCTAGATTAGCATACAAAAATGGGGCCAAGAGAGGGGTAATGAAGCAACTCACAAATGCTGGCCCCAAAAAGAGAAGGGGCCTTCTACAATATTGAAGAGGGGCCAAAAATATGATGTTTTACAGTTGATGGCCAAGCCCAAAACAGTATACAAGTATTCTCAAAATACTATGCAAGGTAGGGCCCAAAAGAGGTCAAAACACAAAGTATACAAAACATTCATCAAACAGTCAAAGACCCTTAATGAAACATGACAAGGGGGTCAAAATATGGCCACTTTCAGTTCGGACCAAGGTCAAAAAACAGAAACACAGTAGGCTAAAAAATCATGCAAAAATGGGGTCAAAAGAGGGATATAAAAGCAAGTGATACATGGAGACCCCAAACAGTGATGAGCCCTACAACAATGTTTAAGAAGGGCTCAAAATAAGCCTACTTACAGTTCATGACATGCTTCAAAATAGATTGTATACAAGCCTAAAATACTACGCAAGAAATAGGCATACAAGAGGGATAATGAAGCAAGTGCAAGATGGGACCTCAAATGACAAAAGTCCCTTAATGAAACATGAAATAGAGCTAAAAAAAACACTACTTTCAGTTATGGCCGGAGCTCAGATATACAAGAAAGAGAGGCTAAGAAATGTTGCAAAAAATGAGTTAGAAAGAGGGAAATGGTTACTCACCCTTGTAGACCAATCTTTAGCAACTTCTTGGACCAAATTTGCTGCCTCCTAGCCTCTGAGAAGACTTCCAAGCTGCTGGAAATGGAAGTGGTGGTGTGGTGCGTGGTGATGGTGTGTAAAAATGGTTAAGAACTTGAGGGGTTTTGAGGTTTAGAGTAGAGAGAGAGAGAAATTTAATGTGAGAGGCTTATACCAAAAATCTCTCCACCTTCAAAACACAGCTGGGGGGGCTGTTATATAGACACAAGAGGGTGGAAAAGAGGGGGAAAAATGGGGGGGAAATTGAAATTGAAATTTCCCCCCAAAAAGGCCAAAAAGTGAGATATAAAGGCAAGTGATAGCTGCTGGACCCAAATGGCCGAGAGCCCTTCAACAAAGTTGAAAAGGGGCTCAAAAAAAGACACTTTGTAGTTTACGACCAAGTCCGAAACAGCTCACAAGTAAGCCTAAAATACCGTGCAAAAATAGGCCTAAAAGAGCGTTAAAGAAGCAAGTGATAGGAGGAGATCTCAAACAGCAAAAGGTCCTTAATCAAACATGAAAAGGACCTCAAAATATGACTATCTCAAGTTCGGGTCGGAGCCCAAAAATGCTTACATGTGTTCAGGGAGCCAAAACACGCAGTTCGGGGCCCCGAAAGTGGGCTGTTAGGCACCGGAAGTGGTGTCCGACCACGAAGTTGGTCTCTCGGACCACAGTGTCCCTCAAAAGGGAGGAAATAAGGTGTGTGCCAAAAACCGGAGCAAACGGAGGTGGTTAAGCGGTCCCGAACCGAGGCACACGGCCGTCGGCTCCGAAAAACCGGAAACCGGGCTCCAAACGGGAAAAATGGCCTACGACCACGAAACGTAGCCTACGGCCACTGAGAGATGATCTACGAGACCTCTCCCTCCCTTCGGGAAGAGAAAACAGAGAAAATAGGGCCTGGTTCGAAAACCGAGGCAAAGCACACAAGAGTCCGAAGTCCGGAGGCAAGGCTCGCAGCTAAGACTCTGAAACTTCAAAACGAGCACAATATGCAACATCACCAAGCGCTCAATCGGTGACGTCTTAGTCTTAAGGTCGGTCAAAAATGGGGTGTCTACAACAATCAAGACCAATGAGAAATTTGTAGGAGATATATGAAGCTACAGAAGAAGCAAATCTGAATTTGTTCTGCCCACTTGCAGATAGTGATCCATTTACTTTCTCAGAAGCCATCCAAGAAGATAAATGGAAGAAAGCAATGGATGAAGAAATTCATGCCATTGAGAAAAATGACACATGGAAGCTTACTAGTCTACCGGAGGGGCACAAACCCATTGGAGTGAAATAGGTATACAAGACAAAGAGGAATGCACAAGGTGAAGTGCAACGCTATAAGGCAAGATTAGTGGCAAAAGGTTATAAGCAGAGAGCTGAAATTGATTATGGAGATGTGATTGCTCCTGTTGCCCGGTTGGAGACTATCAGGCTAATGATTTCTTTGGCTGCCCAGCACGAGTGGCAGATCTACCAACTTGATGTGAAATCTACATTTCTTAATGGTTTTCTTGAAGAAGAAATCTATATTGAACAACCTTCGGGGTACATTCAGAATGCGTATGAAGACAAAGTGTACAAATTGAAGAAAGCACTTTATGGATTGAAGCAAGCTCCGCGTGCATGGAATACTAGAATTGATCAGTATTTTCATGACAATGGTTTTGAAAAATGCCCATATGAGCACGCACTCTATTTGAAGAAGGAAGCTGATAGAAGTGTGAAGCTAATAGAAGCGTGTTGCTTGCTTGTCTTTATGTTGATGATCTAATTTTCACCAGAAACAATCCAGTCATGTTCAAAGAATTTAAAAGAAGCACGGTTCAAGAATTTGAAATGACAGATATTGGATTGATGGCTCATTTTTTCGATATTGAAGTGGCACAAAGAAAAGATAGAATTTTTATTTGCCAAAGTGGCTATGCCAAGGAGATTCTCAAGAGATATGGAATGGAGAGTTGCAATCTAGTGAACATTTCTGTGAACAGTGGAGTGGAGCTCAAAAAAGGTACAAAGGTAGGTGATGTGGATCCAACTTATTTCAAGAGCTTAGTTGGAAGTCTTCACTCAGCAATTGCATTAGCAAAGAACCTAGTTTATCATGAAAGAAGTAAGCATATTGACACCCGCTATGATTTCATCCGAGAGCATGTGAAAAATAAAGAGGTGGAATTATTTCCTTGCAAATCTCATGATCAGCTTGCAGATATTTTCACGAAACCATTGAAAAATGATCTGTTCAACAGCATGAAGATAATGCTCGAGATGAAGCCGCATTGAGAATCAAGATTAAGGGGGGATGTTGTGAAGTAATCTTGCTTCACTATAATAAAATAAAACAATTTCCACCGGCCTAAGAGTAGAAGTATGGAGGCTAAGGCTGAAATCAAGATTTTCAAAGCTGGTTAGCTGCCACTGTTTGAACTTTGTTGCCTTAGCTGTATTTGCATTTAATGGTTTTACATTGTCTAGTTTATCTATAAATAGCTAATGTATCAGAATGATAAGTGCGTGGGAGAAAGAAAATAAAAGAGAGAAGACTGTAGTTTATGCTCTGTTTCTTTTTCAGAATTATTGGAGTGAATTTAAGTAAAGTTTGGTTGAATGTTAATCCTCTCATTGTGAATCACCAACAGTAGTTTGCGCCCCACTCCCACCAACATAAATTTGTTGCATAATCTCCAACCAAATTGCAAAGTAAAGTTTGATGGTTGAAACCATTTATTCTTAAACAGAGCTAGGATTATATTTAAATTTCTAACATGACAAAGAAACTCAAGATATACACTAGTAATCTGCTTTTATATTTAAAAAAAAAAGAGTGAATTGCTTTTACGTAAACTCTATATTAATATGGAATCTGATACTAAAGATTACATTGGTGACTTATTTTTGTTAAATACTTGGCGTACGTTTTGAAGCCACTTTTAGAATTGTTCTATTGGGGAACATATCTTCTAGAATTGATTTTTTCTTTGTTCTTTTTTGTATACATATTACTGTTTAATCATTTTATGATGAAGATATTGGGAAGATACTTTGTTTCAAAATAAAGAGAAATATTCAAATATACAGTGATCTGATGTGATGTTCAAGCACGTTATATTGTAAATTTGTCCCATATTCTCCAACTAAATTGCAAAGTAAAATTTGATGATTGAAACCGTTACTTTTAAACAGAGCTAATGTTATAATCAAATTTCTAACATGACAAAGAAACTCAACATATATAACAGTAATCTGCTTTTATATTTAAAAGAACTGTCTAAATTTCTTTAACATAAACTCTGTACTAATATGGAATCTGATACTAAAGATTACTTTGTAAGTTCAACCGATTGATGTAAAGGAGATCTGAAATTGATGCTCTTTTTTTTCAGGATGTTGGAACTGGAATGCACTTGACAAGCCAACCGATCGGCCATGACATTGCTGCAATTATGATGCATGCCATCCACTGTGCCCAATTCAACCTCTCCGTATTAGCAAACTTCTTGAGGAACTCAACCATCACCACCTGAAGAACTATTGTAATGCCAACAATCCCAAGAAACAGTTTATTCTTCAGTATCCCTGTGAACACGTTCTTTGCTTCCAGCTTCCTCGCATTGAACTCGTTGAAGACTTGGCAGAGCACAAAGCTATTGAAAATGAGGGTGTCTTTAACCTTTTCATTCACACCAAAGATAGACCTTCCCTTGAATTGAAGTATCAACAAGACTGTCACCTGGTACAAGGCCTGAGCAAGGAGGTTCCTCCACATCACATTGGTTATGAGCGGATCAAATCGACTCACGGGTTTTTTCTTCATCAAATCATTGGTGGGTTGCTCAGTGGCCAAGGCTAAAGCCCCCAAGGTATCCATTATGAGGTTCACCCACAGTAACTGGACTGCAGTTAATGGAACTTCACCGGAAGAAGCTGCAGCCACAAAATTGATGACGAGCGCGGCGACATTGACTGTGAGTTGGAATTGGATGAATTTTTGAATGTTGTTATATACACACCTTCCCCACCTCAAGACCATCACGACAGAGGTGAAATTGTCGTCCAATATGACTACATCCGAGCTCTCTTTAGCCACTTCTGTTCCTTGGATCCCCATCGAAAGCCCGATATCTGCTTCTTTTAATGCTGGTGCATCATTAGCTCCATCGCCTGTGACTGCTACTACATGGCCTTTCTGCTTCAAGCATTGTACCATCAGAAGCTTGTCGAATGGGGATGACCTTGCCATCACACGGATGGTCTCTACCTTTTCCATTCGCTCTTGATCGGAGAAGTTTCTGAAGTCTTTTCCCTCCACTACTGCTCCGCTATTCAAATCCTCTGTAGTATCAAGAATCCCACATTCAGTTGCTATAGCCTTTGCAGTGAACACATTATCCCCAGTGATCATCTTGACATTTACTCCGGCATCTCTGCAAGATTCTACTGCTGTTTTGACTCCTGGTCGACACGGATCCTTCAAGCCGACAAACCCTAATAAGGTCAGTCTGTTTTCTTCAACTCTTTGGTGATTCTGGACATTATCTTCTGTGACTATGTTGTGGGCAAAGGCGATGCATCGCAAGCTTTTAGCTGCCATATCTTTAATAATTTTCTCGAACTGTATTCTATCTTCGTCATGCATGGTTACACTTATCCCGTTTCTCTCATGATAGCTCGAACACATTGCTAGGATCATCTCGGCAGCTCCCTTCCAATGTGCTTGAACTGTATTATTAATTCTGCTCCTTATGATGGTCCCACTTCGTTTCTTCTCTGAATTGAAAGCTTCGACATGGAGAATTTGAAACTCTGCCTTCAGTTGATCAATATCCATACCTAAATCAAACAGAGCCCAAGAGAGCAGTGCTTTCTCACTTGGGCTACCGGAGATTTCAGGGAGCGATGCAGATAACGGTGCGTAAATGCTACCTGTAGTATTTAAAGCGACGCCTTGTTTTAGCAATTCAAGAACATCAGGTGCTATATCTGATGATCTTGAGTCATTCATTGCTCCTCTTCCAAGCCAAAATTCGGTGACTTTCATTTGGTTTAATGTAAGCGTGCCGGTTTTGTCTGTGCAGATAGTTGTGACTGAACCCATAATCTCACACGCAGATAGTTTCCGAACCATGGCATGGTCTGCCATCATTCGCTTCATAGAGTATGCCAGAGTAAGTGTAACAGCCAATGGCAGTCCCTCTGGAATGGCCACCACAACGATCGCGACTGCTGCAGCAATGATTTGGACAACTTCATTCATCACATCATCGATCTTAGTCTTGCCTTTCTTGAATCCCTTGGTCCCCAATTCATCTTGTGTGTTTCCTGTAAAGTACCGAATCATCATAATCGCAAGGACGAGGAAAGCAACTGCCAAACCAACCTTGCCGATATGAGAAGTCAGCTTGTTGAGTCGAGCTTGTAACGGGGTTTGTTCATTCAAGTCACGGCTTATTGAGCTCATCATTTCACCCCATGCAGTGTTCATGCCAACTGAAGTGACAATCATGAAGCCATAGCCGTCGGTGACCTTTGTACCAGAGAGAAGAAAGGGATTATTGGTGCCATTGATCTCAATATGGTCACTTTCGCCTGTCATGCTTGATTCATCCACTTTCAACGAGTGACCGTTCATGAATAAGCCATCAGCGGGTATTTGATCACCGATCTTCAAACACACAATGTCACCAACTACAACGTCAAAGATTGATATCTGTTGTCGCCGTGCATCTCTCACTACTTCAACCTTGATATCACTACTCTCCTTGGAGAGCTTGGCGAACTGTCTACTTTGATTAAAGTTACTTACCGCTGAAACGGCTATGACTAGAAATACAGCGAAAACAATACTTCCTCCATCATACCACCCATCTTTCAGACCGTGCTGTTTGATTCCAAAACCAAGAGAGAGAACAGCACAGACCAAGAGGATAATTATGGTGGTATCCTTAAAGGCGTCAATAACAAAACTTAAAAAACTTTTCATTGGCGGTTTTGGGTACCTGTTGAAACCGAAAACCGCCTTTCGGTGAATGAGATGAGTGTCATCACCTTTGATACCATCTTTTTCGTCAGTTTCAAGAACAACAGCCATGCCTTTCGCTCCTCCAAATTGATAAAGTTGGTCGGAGTTTTTCTCCTTGATCATGTCGGCTAGTGTCTTCTGATCAATATTGAGCGCGGGCAAGTGATCTTCAGGCTCGTCATCCTCGTGTTGGATATCAATGATCGAGTATGATGGAGAGTGTGTGATTCCAGTAATGAGTTGGGTGTTGCTGACAATGACTTTCTTGGCCAGAGAAGCAAGGTATTGGGAGATGTTGATGGCTGCAACGGCCGACCGCCATCGTTGGTAGGGCTTCATGGGTGATTTTTGATGAAAGATAGGGACGGAATTACAAATTAAGTTTTTTGAAAGAGACAGGACTATGAAGAAGAAAAAAAAGAAAGAAAAAAGAAAAAAGGTCCAGAGAAGTCTCAAGAAGAATCAAAGAAAAGTCATATTTTTTTTTTTACGTATAAAAATATTCAAAACTGTGTTGGTAAACAAATTGATCTTTATGCTTTAGGGTAATGGAGGCTTTAGGGTTTTATATAGATGTGCAATGTCATTGTCATTCTTTGTTTTTTTGGGAGGCAACTTCACAGAAGCTTCATAATTAATGCATAAAAGTTTGATTCCCTCTCGTCAACACGTTGGGTGTGGATTCGTAAATCACTCCCATGATTTAAATCATTTATTTCATAAATTTTTTTTTCTTGATTTGGTACAGTTGATTAGAATTATTGATATTTTTTATTTACTTATTTTAGGAGTTTATGTCAAAATGTTTGATACAATTTTGGATAAATTATATTTTACCTTTTTTTTTTTTTTGGTCAACTTTTTTATTTTACTTCGATCCTTAAATTTTTTTTTTCTCCTTTGACCCTTTATGTTTTAAGTTTTTTCCTATTTTATTTCTAAAATTAATTTCTGTTCAAAATTAAACAGAAAATATCATGTTAATTACTACAGACAAAAATATATGATTATATTGGAATTTGTGTTTATATTAGAGGTGTAAGTTATATATAATAAAATATTTTTATACAAGGTGGTTGTCAATGTGTCATATTTTTTCTGATTTTAGATGTAAGTTAATTTTTGGAGTAAATTGAGAAAATGTTGAAACATAAGGGGTCAAACTGAGAAAAAATAAAATTTAAGAGCCAAAATAATAAAAAAAATGATCAAACATAAAAATGACAGAGTGTAATTTATCCTTTTTATTTATTAATTTTATTGATAATCTAACTTTTAATTTGAAAAAAAAAAAGAAAAAAAAAAGCACCAAATGTGCCTTGCTGAGTTAGGAGAGATTGACTGCATGTGAATCATAATTTCAAATACAATGCATCGTAATTTCGCAGAAAATGTCTGTAACTGAAATAAGTAATTTCATCACCTTAATATTTTTTAAAATTAATGATTTTAATTTGATTTACTTATTTATAAGTGTAAGAGGAGCTAATTTAAGCCCACTAAATTATTTAGGCCCAATAGCCCAAGATTAGTGGGCCCGAATTTATCGCAAGTCCAAGATTGTTGGGCTTGGATTTATCGCCGTCAAACGGGTTGAATGGCTCGAAAGGGTTCGGATCCACGAACCTAGAGACAACCCTCTCCTACAATAAGCTTATTATTTAATAGGTTAATGAGTGAATAAAATCTAAATACTTAATTTACTGAAAGTGTCAATGTCACATAAATCACTACTCTCTGTAATCCAAACCCAAACATAAAATTAGACATCTTAAATTCTGTTTTGTGGATTGTGATTCTCTCAACTATTTTTTTAGATGTGTTTGATTTTGTGAAATGTCTTTCTACCCCCCTCAACTTAAATTTGGTATTTGTAAGTGATCTCTCAACTAGTTTTTCTAGACGTATTTGATTTTGTGAAAAGTCTTCTCTACCTCCTCAACTAATATTAGGTATTTGTAAATCAATTTCCTTGAAAGTGATTTAATTTTAGGGTTAATTTCATTTTTATCCATTAATTTTTTTTAAAAAAAAATTATATTTATCCCTAAATTATCAATTTCAATTATTTAGTTTTTCGAATTTCTAATTTTAACTCATGTGGTATAATTTGAGATAGTTGTCCTAATCAATAAATGTTAAAGTCTAATATGGTAGGCAAAAAAGTCATTTCAAAATTTGAACAATTTAAGTCAGGACACTAGGAAATTAACTCTTAATTTTATGAAAATTCTTCTCTCGGTGTTCTTTCTTTTTTCTAATATAAGACTTGAGAGCATGAAATAAGTGTGAAAAATATTTATAAAAGATAAAAAATATACAAATTTAAATGCGTTTGTTTGACATGAGCGGTGAAAAGAATAAGAAATTGAATAATTCATATCTATATGCTAAGTTCAAAGTAGCGAGCTCTTATTGTACTTCCCAATTTTCATACAATCTCTCATAAAATTTCCATCGTAACCAAAAGCATATTTATCAATCTAATCAAACAAACAAACAAAATTTTAATCTACACTATATATTTGGATAATAAAATTCTTGAAGGAATAAGAATGTGATTCTGAAACATTCTCCAATAGTTAAAATATTGGAAACTTTGAGTGACATAAACTAAAGGTAGGCATTTCCTGCCTATTTCCTCAAAAGATGGATAGAGAACAATGTGTGCCCATCCTTTTGGGACGCATGAGATAGAGGTTCAAATATTCTTATTCCCAACATATTTTATAGCAAAAAAATTATTCTTACAAAAAATTCATACAAAGTAATGCAGTGGTGATATTTTTGCAATGACAATCATTTGGTGAGTTCATTGCTTTGAAGTGATAATCTCATAATACAATAATGTCATTTTGTATAAATTTTTTGTATGTGTTTTTTAATAAATATTTATATATCCAATGTAGAAAATGGAAAGAGAGAGATAAAAGTGTGCCTATATTCTTGCAAGCACAACAATGGAGGTATTTTTAGGGGGTTCATTTTCCACTTCCTACGAAATTCATTGCATACCTTTAATTTTTGTGACTTTAACATGAAATTCTCTCTTTTTTGGGCCCTCAATTGGTATTAACTTGAGCAAGGGTTTTTGGTGAGTGGAAAAATACTAGACGGTTGAGTATATACGTCATTGAATAAAAATTAATAATTTCGAGAATCATTCCAAGATTAGATGAGATAAGGTATTTTGTTGCATATATTTCCTCGAAGGTGACCAAAATTCTTTTATGCAAACACGTTTGTTTGGTTTCGTGGAAAGTCTACTCTAATATTTTCTTTTCATTCTTACCTAAATTCGTTAATATTTTCATAGCATAAGAAAAGAAGAAAAAAAAATTGATCCTTCTTTTGGAAATGGACCATGGAACTTTGGTTTGGTTTCATAGAGAATCTTGTTTGCGTTTGGCTCACGATGAGATTGGGTATTTCTAACCTAGTTTATTAAAATAGTTGTATTAGGACACTTTTATTTTACATTTTTAAATGCACTAACTCTAAGAGAGGATTCTTTCTCATAGTTTAAAATTCGTTTGGCAATTTAAAATTTTATTTAAAAAATTATTATAAATTGTTACATACTCTTTTTATTTTTTTTATATATCTTTTCGTAAAAAACTTAAAATAACTTATTCCCAAACAAAGTCTCGCAGTAAAAATATTGAAAGTAATCATATATATATATATATATATATTTATTAACAAAAAGGACTATAGGTATAGAGCCCTACAACAAACTTTTGTTATCAAACCAATCCAAGAAAATTTAACTAGTGATTTAGGTCCAATAATTATATGACATTATCATAATCCATTAATTGACCTACCAGTAGACTAAAGGATAGAGAATGGAGTGAAATATATTTTCCATAAATCTCACAATGCAATTATAATTTACCCTACTTTTAAAATTTTAAATCATGAATCAATGTCCTATATTGACTAGTAGAGGTGGAGATTTTAGATTTCAAGTTGAAAGTTATGGAGTAGTGGAGTTTTGGATAAGTTTGTTAGCTACTTGGATCTGTTTGTTTGTTTGATGGTTTTTTTCCTTTTCAGTTTGGTTTTCTTAATTTTTAGTTTGTTGATATAATAATCCTTCCCGTGTGGATGTTTGCTTTCCTCCCTTGGGAGGCCCTTTGGATCCTTCCTTCTATGGAGGTTATTTATCTCTTTTTAAGATCTTATGATACTGCTATATTAGATTGATCCAATCTTTTACTGGTTTTATAATAAAGATTTTCTTCCTGATTTAAAAAAAAAATTGATGAATCAAATATTTATGAAATTTATTCTACTTTCAAAATTTTGAATAATGAATCAAAGATTTATGAATGTGTTAGAGCATCTACATCAGTCTCAACAAATTTTGAGTCAAATTATAACTAAAAAACTACTCTTTTATTTTAGCTAGCATTTTTTGTATGTACACACTACATTAGACTCTCTATTCTAAAATTAAATTTTATAAAATATTTATTTTGTATTGTTAAAAAGCAATCAAAGTAGTATAGGAGAAGTTAATTTTGTATTGTTATATATATGCAGTTTCATATTAAAAAAAATAAAAAAAATTGTGCCCAGTAGCAGTTGTCCGCCGGACATCCAAAGTGTATAGGATATATCTATACAGTTTCATATTTCTTTAATATATATATATATATATATTGTGCAGTAGCAGGTTGTCTGCCAGGATGTCCTGCCAGATGACAGATAAGATGTCCGGTCAATAAATGATAAAATATTTTATACCCTGTGAACAATGTATCGCTACGCGTAGTGATATACTATAGCAAAGTTTGTTGTTCAAAATTGAGAAATTAAATAAATAGATTTATGAAGAAAACAAATTATATACCAAGAACATATGCTGATAATTACAACTAAATTTCAACAGAAATACACAAAAAACAATAAAGGGTAAAGAGACAAAACCGAAGCCTGCACGGAAGCAGTTTCCTTAAAACAGATTTCGCCGCCTCACGGGTCGAGTGCTTGAGGAAACCTGGTGTCTGTCTCCCAGGATACGATGGTCAAAACCAGCTACGGCAGAAGTACTATCTGTCTAGCTTAGCGAACAAAACAATGGCAGCACTCTCTCACAATAGGAACTATCAAGCAAACTGACTTGTAAAATGGAAGTAAAAATTTCTATATTGAAACTTGACAGGAGGGTCTCAATTTATACATGTATAGGGGAGAGAGGAAAAGCCTCCAGCCTTTAAGGCTAGTCATTAAAACACCAAGCATCCATAGCCCCTTTCCACAAAATGAAAAGTATGGATGCCCAAAGGATTCACACCCTTTAGCCAAGAAAAAAGATTTAAATACTCTTTAAAATCCTATTCATGAATCTAACATCATGAAGCAATTTCTTGACAATTTCTTATTCAAAACCCAATGGTTTTGGCTCACTTGGACCCAACACAAAAAATGGTTAGGACCCACTTTAATATTTAATTAAAGTCACCACACTTTAATATTAAATTAAAGTCTCCAAAATTCATTTTTTCCAACAAAGTTAACCAAAAGTTAGTTTAAAAATAATTTGTTGAGACTGATGGACTAAGAATTTTATAATTTATTAACTATATTTAACCAAAATTTACATTTATTGAGGCTAATATGGATGCTCTTAGTTTATGATTTGTTAAAAAGTGTATTTTCTAAATTGAGCTCAAAACT